GGTAGGATAATATTGGGGTTTAGGCCTGGTTTCCCCTAAGTAGGGAGTAGAGGAAAACCAGGAGCTCGCGTGGGCAGGGGCGCTACCTCCCTGAAGTAAGTCTACCCTCTATCGGGATCATAGAGGAGTACCTACCCGCTACCGCTATACTCGTATATATTATTCTTAATATTTAAAATCATATATTTTGTAAATTGTAGTATATAAATATATCTCTAATAAATATAGAAAGCAATATAGCATTGGTAAAACGGATAATAAGTATTCGGAAAATGTTACTATCCACAGAGGCGCCTGACAGGGACAGGCGCCTCTGTGCCCCATTTAGTATTTAGTAAGAACATGTACTTACTGATTTTATGGCAAAAGTTAAAGACGGATTTTTGATCAATAAGATATTTGTAAGGGAAAATGACTTAGGGAAAAATGAAAAGGGCCTAGACGTATAATTATAGAGACTTTTAACTCACTCGCACACATGTCAGAACAGTCCATAAAACGTAATCAATAGTAATTAGCTTCCTCTTCTCAGCTTGACATATTATCAAACGTTGGCAATTGAAAGGGTAAGTGGATGAAGGGAGTAAGTAACAAAAGTAAGGTACTAAGCCTAGGTAGGGACATAGTTTGCTGTAGATCCAATGTTACATACACATTGTTTTCTGATTTTCTAGCAAATTATCTATCTGTTTTTTGAGATTCAAATGCTGATTTATATTTTTTAGCGTGATCTTCATTACTTTTGCCAGAATCGCGTGTGCTACATATATCGCTTTTGAGATAACCAAAAGACAGATTAAATTCATTATTAAAAACGAATTGGTATGTAGTCTCTTTTATTTGAAATTTTTTCAAATTTCTTCCGTCAGTTCGGCATTTGTCTAAGTAAAGTTTATGCATTCTAGGAATCGAAAGTTGCGGTGAAAGATATTTTTTGTGAATATTACAATATCTGGAGTAGTGCGACTCTTCTGCTGGGAAATATCTGCTTCTCATTCTTTAATATTTTTCTCTCTTTTTCTAGTTATTATAAAGTTATTAGTACTGATTTGTACTTTTATATATTATATATATATATATATATATATATATATATATATATATATATTTCTCATTTTATTAGGAACGTATTCATCTTATGAGTCATCACTAAATAATGATAAAAGACTTTCATCATCTGAATCAAGTTTTTCTCCGTAATCTAAAACAGAACATTAGCATAAGCCTAAATTTTCCTGGTTAAATTTCAGCTGTTAAGGAAAACAAAACATTAGTTATTAATCTAATCTGCTGATTTAAGTCCCTATAGTCCCTTAGTCAATGATTAACAGAAAATAATTCATGTTAAATAAGCTAGCTACCATATTTGAAGCCAACAATCACGTGGATCGGATAGTGTAATTGGTTAAGACACTTGCCCAGAGTAAGACATCCCGGTTCTAATACCACTTTACCATTTCATTAGATTTTTTTAACTAGCCCATTGTTTAAACATTATGTATCTCTAAGGTACTTACGTAGTTTTTAAATAAATTTTTTTAAATTTAAAATAAAATACTTGAAACTAATAAAGAATAATATTTACCTCTTATCTTGGTCTCATTATCACCAACTTCTTCTATAATAGTGGATTCCTATTGTAATTGCTGTAAAGCCAAGTCTGCCAAAAACTTTCCCCTAGAACTAGTCATAATAAATCACTTTATAACTAATCAAATAAACTAAAACAGCTAAGAACACTAACACAAGCAGTAGCAAGGGTTGCACTTGCACATAACCTAAAAACTTTAATTTTTTGTCATCTGATGTCAGCTGACGAATACATGAAGGAGATATGTCACAATTTTTATTCTCTGTGGTATGAATGAAGGAAGTAAGTACTTTATCTTGTTACTTACCTTCTTCATTCACTAGATATTTAAAGTAGTATGGTCAATTACCTTCTTCGCTGGCTATCTCAGTTATTTTAAATAATAGAAGGCTGGGGATAAGTGGAAAATTTAATTTAGCACTTACCACCTTTATCCATGGGGATAACTTATCTTCTTAAAAAATGTCACTTACTCCCTTTATTTACTTACCCCTTCAATTATTAGGGCTATTTAGAGTTTTTTAACATCTTTAAGGGATTGTGCTTGTTCCAAGAAGTTCTGCCGCAATCTGGACTCCTTTCAACATTAATCTTACTTGTAAGTTTATGTGTTTGTTTGTTAATGTTTGCTTGTTTATTTAAGTTAAAATTTGTATTTATATGTGATAAGTCACAATTAAATGTGATGAAAATTACATTTTTAACTAAAAAATTGACGTTTCGATTTCCACTCTGAAAATTGTTTTTTAAAAAAGATTATTCAATAATTGTGTTTAAAAGGATATATAACCACCAAAGTTGTTAAAGAGGTTATGTCTTCTCAAAATTGACAGTTGACTTACTTGGCCCCAATGTTATGTTGTCTGCAATAGCCTTGCTTTAGATAAAAAAATACGAGGGTAGATTTTTATCCTATGGAACTTTAAATTGTGATTATTCTGTGTGCTTTTGAATTACTTGCAAATGCAATGTTGTTCGTGTATTGTGTATTATGTATTGCGTGTTGCATATATATTGTTCGTAATTGTAGATAATATGCCCGCAATTTCCTTTTTTTTTCCGCCATAAATGGTATGTTCTTGTTGCTGACTTCTTCTTTTAGAATTGGCAACCAAAATCTGTTATGTTCAACTTATGGGTTTCTATTGGTTTTCCGACACATTACAGAACAACGAACACATACCTTTGCTTTAATATTACTAGTCGCTTGATCTTTTTGATAATTTAATTGAGCAAAATGTTTTACTCCTATTTTTATGTAGTTTAACAGTTTAAAAGTTGTTGTCTTCAAGTATATTAACTAGTATTACAAAAATAAGGAAACAGAGGAAATGAGTATACATTTTGAACAACCCGAAGTAAACTGTGGTTAGATTATAAATACATGTATAAAAAATATAAAAATGAGTTGTGGGATCGAAGATGTCCAGAGGTGGATAGGTATATGGGTGGAACAAGAGTTGGGCAAGCTTGGAAGGTCATAAAGTCTCTCCGGAGAGAAGGAAAGGAAAAATCTAACTTACAGTTAATAGATTTGAAACAGTGGAAACACCATTATGAGGTCTTACTGACACAGGATAAATGTAAATTCCTTTCTTCTTCTTCTACTTTTTGTAGATCTTTCGATCTGTTTAATTCTGAAGCTGCCTCTGGTTAATTTCTTGGGAGGTAGATTGCCAACTATCCCTCCATCTTTTAGGTGGTCTTCCGGGGGGTCTTGTAAATGTAAATTCCAAGAGATCGAAATGGAAGAAATATCTGCATACACACAAATAATTGAGATAACAACCGGAGAGTTAAATGATGTCCTCAAAAGATCGAAAAACCGTAATACAGCAGGACCTGGAGACATTCCAATTGAGTTGGTAAAATATGGACCAAAAATATTACATGAGATGTTGGTTCAACTATTTAACAAATGCTTAAAAGGACAAAATATACCTGACGATTGGAATATTGGATACATCAGCTCAATATTCAAGTAATGGGATAAACACAAATGCTCTAATTATAGGGGAAAAACTGTTACCAGCTCAGTGGGGAGGTTTTACGGTCGAATAATAAAAGAAAGAATAAAATCAGAATACAAAGACATAGAAGAACAAAATGGATTTCGTACAGGAAGATCGTGCACTGATGGTATATTCGTTCTGCAGCAGGTAATCGAAAAACGAAAGGCAAGGAATCTATCTACCCACCTACTGTTTGTAGATTTAGAGAAGGCATACGATACGGTACCTTTGAAAAAACTGTTTCAAACATTGACGAAAGTAGGTCTCAGTAGAGAGTATGTGGATGCTATCGCAAATATATACAAAAATGCCAGAAGTGTCGTTAAAGAAGGAAACTTTATATCTGAATCATCTCCAATAACAAATGGGCTTAAACAAGGATGTTGTCTATCTCCGACCTTATTTAAAATATATATTCAATCATCGCTAGAGCAGTGGAGGAAACAAGTATCCGGAATGGGAATAGACATAGGCGGTGGTAAATGTCTAACAACTTTATTTTTCGCAGATGATCGGGTAGTCTTAGCGAATGATGAGGAAGACATGAACTACATGTTTAGAAAACTAAAGAAAGAATATGAAAAATGGGGCCTCAATATGAAAATGTCAAAGACAGAGTATCTTAAAATAGGAGATGACAAAGAAGATCCAGAGTTAGGAATTAGAAACACAAAAACATGCAATGAATATAAATATCTCGGATCTATAATATCTAAAGAAGGCACTACCAAAAGAGACATCGAAAACAGGACGCAGCAGGGAAAAAAAGCGGTTAACATTCTAAACTCTCTACTATGGTCTAACGATAGTAGACAAGTAACAAAATTGACAATCTATCGAACCTTGGTGGAGCCTATTATGACTTATGGGGAAGAAGTTTGGCAGATCACGAAAAAAGATGGAAAAAGAGTAGAAGTAGTAGAAATGGATTTTCTAAGGAGAGCGTGTGGTGTATCCAAAAAAGATCATATCAGGAATGAAGATATTAGAAGGAGGACAAATACTGTATATTACAGTGTAGACAGAATTGAAACGAGACAACTAGTGTGGTATGGTCATGTAAAGCTAATGAATGAAGATAGATGGCCAAAGAAAGCTTTAAATTACATACCACAACAAAGAAGTAGAAGGGGAAGACCTTCAGTTGTCTGGGAAGAAAACGTACGACACCTAATGAGAGATAGAGCCATCAAAGAAGACGAATGGATGGACAGAGAACGATGGCGGTCGAAATGCGAGAAGCGGCAGAAGCTGTAGTAACCTCGCTTATATATATATATATATATATATATATATATATATATATATATATATAAGCATGTTATATATATATATATATATATATATATATAAAATATAATAAATAACTGAAAATATTTATTTTTCAACCATGTTTATTATAAAATAACTTAAAAATATATACAACAAAATCAGTAATACAATGCAACATGTAGGTAAGAATGTCAACAATGGCACTAAGATCCAATCCAAGAATGTCCACATCAGTGGTAGCCGTCTAAGTCCAGTCCTAGATCGTGGCTGACTAATGTCTTCGTAACTAACGGAGCGCTGACTAATGCTTTAGTATATACTGGAGCAGCTACCAAGGTTTTAGCTACAACTGGTTGTACAACCTTGTGGACTACCTGTGGGTGTACTGCTTTACCTATAAAATACAAAGTATTAGGTTTTAAAATATTTACAGCTTAGTAATTTATAACCAAAATCATGTGCTTTTTAAATTTAAACATTCACAATATAAATTTAATTAATATATGATTTGGAATTGCTAATTAAGAAACTTAGAAACTGTGTTTCTAAGTTATAAGTTTCTAAGTTTTACGTAAACTGTTCTTTGTGAAATACATTTCACAAAGAACAGTTTACGTAAAACTCAAACTAAATGATAAGTCTCTACACATAATAGCCATTTATGCTCCAGAGAACAACAGAGACGCAGACACAAGAGAAAGCTTCTTCGAACACCTCCAAAACACGATAAATGAGGTCGAAGACATCAGAAATGAAAATGGAGATCTCCTCACGGACCTATGTAGCACGAATGAACTACGCATCAACAACACTTTTTTCCCGCATAAGGAACAATACAAATACAAATTCGAAAATACAAGAGATCAAAGGTCAATGATAGACTACATCCTGACGATCAGGGTAATACATCCCTCTCAAGTATTGGACATAAGAGCACTAACATCGGCAGAAATAGGAAGCGACCATAAGCTTATACTTGGAAAAATCAGAATGACGACACGCATATGTAACAATAAAAACAATAAAAATAAAAAAGAAGAATACACCACAAAGGTAAAAGTCGAGAGTCTGCAGAACGAATCAACAAAACTTCTATACCCAAAGAGAGTCAAAGATAAACTCGACAACGTGCACATCGTAGAAAGTGATGGAATCGAAGAAAGCTGGGCGAAAATTAAAGCAAGCATCCTATATTCAGCAAAAGAATCTGTAGGAGAAAGGAAAATTCTTAAAAATAAATATTTCCAAAAGCGGAAAACTCCGTGGTTCTGCGCAGAAGTGAAAGAAAAATGCGAAGAAAAAAAGAAAGCTTACTTAAGATACATGTCTAACAAAACACCACAAGCATACAACAATTACAAAAAGATAAGAAACGAAACAATAGCACTAGTAAGAAAAATTAAAAACGAACACTGGGAACGCTTCTCAAAAGAAATGGAACACGACTTTTACGGTCTACAAAAGGAAATACGGCGTTTCATAAGAGGCCAAAGATCAGAGATGAAAGACTTAATCGAACCGAAACACATAGATAACGACACATGGATTGAATACCTAAAGAAACTTTATAATGATGAACAGCAAATGATGTTAGAACCAGAAACACCAGAAATCATTACAAACGAGGAAGTCGAGATAACCGTACAAGAAGTAAAACAAACTTTAGAAAAACTGAAGAACAGAAAAGCTGCAGGTAAAGATGGAATTCCAAATGAATTATTGAAATATGGTGGAGAAGCATTAACAGAACAGCTAACAGCACTAATTAACAAAATCATCAAACATAATAAAATACCTGAAGAGTGGAAGAAAAGCGAGCTTATCCTACTATACAAAAAAGGAGATAAAAAACAACCTGAAAACTACAGAGGTATCAACTTGTTAAACACCACTTTGAAGCTTACATCCAAAATATTGCAAGGCCAAATAAATCAGAGAATTACCTTAGCGGATGCAGTATTCATCATAAAACAGATTACCGAGAAAGCACTAGAGTATAACAGACCAGCATTCATATGTCTAATAGACCTGAAGAAAGCGTTCGATAAAGTAAAGCTTAAAGATGTAATTCACATTCTTTACGATAGAGAAATTCCACTAAATGTTATAAAAACAATAGAGAACATTTACCAGAACAACAATATGGAAGTCAGAATAGATGACCAGCTTACAGATCCAATAGATATGGGCAATGGAATAAGACAAGGAGACTCGCTTAGTCCAACGCTATTCAATCTAATCATGGATGAAATCATCAATACTATTAATAAAGGAAGAGGATACAAAATGGGAAACAAAGAAATCAGAATACTCTGCTATGCAGATGATGCGGCCCTAATTGCATCCAATGAAGACGATCTACAAAGACTAACCCATAGATTCAACACAAGGGCAAAGGACTTTAATATGGTGATCTCTACACAGAAAACTAAAATAATTGTAATCAGTAAAGAACCAATTAGATGTAAACTGGAAATCGACGGTATCAGCATTGAGCAAGAAATGGAAAAAAATTACCTAGGAATTACACTGTCTAGCTACGGAGATGTGGAGAAGGAAGTAAAAAATCAAGTACAAAAGGCTAATAAAATAGCAGGTTGTCTTAATAACACGATATGGCGCAATCCCCACATTAATACCGACGTGAAATCAAGAATCTACAAAGCAACAATAAGACCAATAATGACATACACTTCAGAGACAAGACCGGATACCTCCAAAACTCAGCAACTACTAGAAACAGCGGAGATGCGTTTACTGAGGAGAATTATTACAGGAAACACACTGAGGGATCGAATGAGGAGTGAAGAGATCAGAAGAAAATGCAATATACCAGAAATAAATGAGTGGACACTGAACAGAAAAAGGGAATGGAATGAACACATAAACAAAATGGAAGAGACCCGATTAGTCAGAATAGCGAGGGACAAATCACCAAAGGGTAGAAGAAGTATCGGGCGACCACGCAAAAGATGGAGTGATAACCTCCAATAGAGGCATTAATCGACATTGAACAAGCATTTTGATTATAAAAAAGAAGAAGAAGAAGAAGAAGAAGAAACTGTGTTTGATATTCAATCATTTTTTAACAGGTGTTTTTCATTTAACAAAATTGTAATACACAATAGCATTTAATTAGCAGTAGAAATAGCAGTAGATTATAACCGTATAAGACATTTTTTTGATTAGGTAATCACAGACATAAATTGAACAAGTACAAACCTAACAAATAAATAATAGATTGATGAAACCTGCATTAAGGAAACATTTGAAAACGCAAACAAAATGGAATACGTATCTATGATTTGGATTAAATATAACTTCACAGAGGACATACAGTAAAAATCATACAGACAAAAGTACCTAAACTAGTTCTTAAGTTTAAAAAAGATAATTATCTACTGTCTAAAAATTTATTTTTCTGCATTTAGGTTGCGACAAAGCATAAACTACAATGTATGTTGGATGCATTACTAAAAAAATAATTTAAAAGTTAAAGGTTTTAAAGTAAACCTTATGAACAATGTCAAAAAATAGAAAAAATCAATAGAAGTTGTATTCTCTTTAATCTTCTTGCCACAATCCCAACCCTGAGAATCTATGAGAAATAGCTAAAGTTTAGAGATTATCACAAATTATTGGATTTAATCTTTAATGAAGAGCTTACATAGAAAGATCACAAATCACAACTTATATTTTCTGTAATAAAATACTAAATGTGTTAAGATCTCTTCTGAACAAAAACTGGGGACTCAGACCAATGCATTCTAGTTTTTCTATATAAATTTTTAATACGTTTAAAGCTACATTATGAAGCGCAATTGCCTATTCCACTGCTTATCAATCTCTTCTTAAATCATTAGATGTCATTTATAATAAAAGTCTTACTTTCTTTACAGGGGCTTTTCCAACTTCCTCGGTACCCAGCATTTATGCTCTTTTAGACGAACCACGGCTACATTACCGCTGCATGTTTCTCGCCTTATCACATGCAGCCTCAGTCGCTTGTAATATTTTAAAACCAATATAGTAAAATACTTTATATATATATATATATATATATATATATATATATATATATATATATACTGTCAAAGGGTCTAAACTTTGCTATTACTCAGCCATCCGTTCCAAAATTAGACATAATAAGATCAGTGGAGAAAATATCTCAATGCTTACCAACCCACGAAAAGGAAGAATACAGAGTGTTATGTCAACTTGAATTGGAAAAATCTACTAAAATTGAACAAAACATAAGCAAAGAGGAACTAAAGACTATAAGAACTTTAAAAAATGACGACTCCATAATCATACTACCAGCAGACAAGGGGAATGCAACTGTGATAATGGATAAAATTCAATACGAAAATAAAATTAAAGATCTATTAATAAACGGACCTTATACAAAATTAACAAAAGATCCAACAAAGTCTTTGAAAAACAAAATATATAGAACTTTATTCAAGTTTAAAGATGTTTTAACAAGATATCAGAGAGGATTAATTACACCTCATTACAGTAAGACTCCTCATTTTTATGGAGTACCGAAAATTCATAAAACGAATATACCACTTAGACCCATCTGTAGTACCATGAATTCTCCTTGTAGTGAACTATCAAAATTTTTATTAAATATTTTAAAACCATTTACAAATAAAAATGACACATTTATAAAAAATACACAACATTTTTTAAATAAATTATCAAATATTGAATTTAATTCAAATCACACTTTGGTAAGTTTTGACATAAATAGTTTATTTACGAATGTGCCATTAAATAAGACTTTAAGTATACTTAGTCAAGACAAAATTAGAGAGTGATGATTCATTGGCAACTAGAACAAGAATAAACATATCGGCTATAATGGAGTTATTAACATTATGTACTGATAATACATATTTTCAACTAAATAATGAATTCTATATACAAAATTTTGGTCTAGCAATGGGCTCTAGTTTATCTCCATTCTTAGCCGATATATTTATGGAAGATTTTGAAACAAATATCATTTCTAAACAAAATTTCAAACCCACAGTATGGTGGAGGTAACTAGATGATGTATTCTCAATATGGCCTCATGGATCAGAGTTGTTGGACACATTCCTAAATGATATAAACGATAAAGAAGAGACAATAACATTTACCATGGAAAAGGAATATAATAACACGCTACCTTTCCTGGATGTTTTAATCTCTAAGAACGATACTGGATATGAGACTCAGGTGTATAGAAAACCAACACACACCAATAGATATTTAAATTTCAAATAAAATCACAATATTTATATAAAAAAGGGAATAATTAAATCCTTATACGATCGAGCCAAAATTACTTGTTCTAATGAAAATTAGTTCTTGGAGGAGAAACATTTGTAACATCTGTTTTATTAAAAAATGGTTATCCTTTATCGTTTATAAATAAGGAATTTTCAACAATCGATAGAATAGAACAGAACAACTTGGAACGAGATCCTACAGCATACACAAGGAATAATATGAGGAAAATAACAATACTGTACATAAAAGGACTATCAGAAAAACTTAAAAGGATAGGAAATAAATTCAACATTTCAATAACATTCAAAACAACAAACACGTTGAGATCTATTTTGTCCAAAACCAAACCTAACAATGAACAAGAAAGGACAAATAATTGCATTTATAAAATACCTTGTGAATGCGATCAGTTTTATTTAGGTGAATCATCAAGGCCATTAAATGTTAGAATAAGTGAACATCAATCTTATATTAAAAATAAAGAATTTGATAGATCTCAAATCTGTAAACACGCATGGGATAATGAACGTAAGGTTCAATGGAATAATTCAAATGTAGTCCTAAAAGAAACGGATGGTAAAAAAAGAAAAATCAAAGAAGCTGCTCTAATTATGCTAAAAATGAGGCCAATTGTGTCGCAAATTCCTCGGCAGAATGTAGTAGGATCTGGTTACCAATATTGAAAGAGGAAGTTATTAATAAGAAAATACCAGTATTAGTAAGTCAGTAACATATAGAGGAAACATCATTTATGTTTTTTAAATAACGTAACATATAAAATCAGAATTTTTTTGTTTGTTGAAGGTAAACTAAATTCACGAACAAATACTTACAATCTCGGGATAGTATTATAAGGTTTTTTCCTGGTTTTCCCTCATAATTTACTATGGAATCACTAACAGGAGGATTTTACTGTCATCATGTCATGTGTTTGTCTTTTTAAAGACGAATTACATGCTATGATTTTTTTCTGACGGATATTCTCAAGTTAAAGTTGATTTCATGTAATCGAATGAACTATCTTATAAGTAAAGTTGTCCCAGGAGCGCAACTCAACAATATGGGCAATATCATTTTAAAGTCGTCTACTTTAAAATGCATAATGTATGTCTGAATTGTCAATATAAATGAGTCAGATAAAATTAAATTATTAAAAGAATTTTTCACTATGTAACAAAAAACAAAATTTGTTTAATTTACTGTTTGTATTTTGAGAACGATTTCAATAACGTATTTTTATCTTTAATTGTGGCTTATTCCCAGTTTAATAGTAATTAATTTACAATGCCACAAGAAAATAGCTTCAGAACAATATTAAGGATCCAACTTGTAAATAAAATACATTTTGGAAACGTCAATTGCCGTATTCCCGATCTCCTCCGTCAATCCTCCCGGTCTATGAAATGCTCCTCCTCCAAACCTCTCGATTCCATAGCTCTTATAATTTCTTCATCCCATGAGCGTCGAGGTCTACCTCTTTTTCTTCTCCCAGGGGGCTTCCATCTGTGAAGTTTTTGGGGCACCTGTTCGTCAGGCAATAGGTGTCCCGATTTATGCTATTTGTTATAGATTCGTTGGTCTTCCTTTCCAGCCTTGATGTTCTAGCACTTCTTCTGAAATAATCCATTTTAACTGCCAATAATCTTCTCTTAAGGACTGCATTAATTGTCCATACTTCAGAGCCATAGCAAAGAACTGATTCAACCATGGTATTCCCCATTCTTTTTTGTTTCTTTTGGAAATGTTTCGATCCCACCATAAGGAGTTTAGATATCCTACAATTTTACGTCCATGATTAATTCGGTGTTTAATTTCGGTTTCTCCCAAGCCGTTCTTATCAATGAGTGCACCAAAATATTTAAATTGTTCCAATTGTTTGTCTACGTCCTCGTCTGATTATGAATTAATAACTAAATACTCTATTTTCTTAATACTGACTTGTAGCCTCCATTTTACATTCTCTCTGAATAGACGCTTTATCATAAATTCTATGTTATAAGAATCTTGAGCTAGGACGACTTGTTCATATGCAAAGTTCAGTGAGAACTGTACGTCATTTCCTATGGAAATTTCCATTCCTTGGCAGTGGTTTTCCAATTTTGGAGGGCTGCCTCAATATATAAATTAAACAGTAAGGGTGACATACTGCATCATTGTCTTAGATCTTTAGTTACTTTTATTGGATCTGATAGTCTATTTCCGATTTTTAGGTAAGTAGTGTTATGCATTAGAGAGCATTAGAGAATGCTCTAATAACGGATTAAGCATAAATATAACAAAGACAAAGTTATTTGTGGTTAGTAAACAAGACCTCAGCGCTATACTAATTTTCAACTAATTTTCAATGATAAAGCGATAACAAAAGTTAACCATTTTAAATACCTAAGATGTAGGATAAACGAGACACTAAATCCGGATGAAGAAACTAAAACTCGTATAGAAATTGCAGGTTGAGTATTTATAAAACTTAGATCTATTCTAAGCAATTCTCAGCTAAACTAACAGCTGAGAATTAAGTTCTTAAAATGTTATGTGTATCCTATATTACTGTATGGATGTGAAACCTGGATTACGAAGATTAACATGATGAACAAATTAATGATCAGAATATCATGGGTTTCACACATTTTAAACGGATGAATTTCAAATCCGAAAAGGTGTCCGCCAAGGCTGCATACTCTCTCCGATGCTTTTTAATTTATATGTTGAAAATATATTTGCGGAAGCATTAGAAGATACGGAATTAGGCATTAAGGTGAACGGCATACCAATTAGCAACCTACGCTATGCGGACGACACAGTGATTATAACTGATAATTTGGAAGATCAGCATTTATTACTTGATAGGTTGAATAGCATAGGTAAAAAATATGGCCTCAAAATCAACATTTTGAAAACGAAATATATGGTCATTAGCAGAAACCCTCCAGAAAACCCGATAATATGCATAGGTGACAATCGTATAAATCGCGTGAAAACTTTTAAATACCTTGGCACCACAATCAATGACCAATCGGATCCACAACACGAGATAAAAACCCGAATACAAATGGCAAGACAAGCTTTTGTGAAATTCAGACCGCTCCTATGTAATCAACACCTAAACTTCAAAATACGCTACAGAATGGTCAAGTGCTACATATGGTCCATCTTGCTTTATGGCATGGAAACGTGGACTTTGAAAAAAACATCTATCAACAAACTTGAAGCATTTGAAATGTGGTCATTGAGAAGAATGATGCGCATACCTTGGGTGGATAGAGTTCGAAACGATGACGTCCTTAATAGAGCCGGCGTGGAAAGAGAACTCTTTGAATTAACTAAAAAAAACGCAAGATTGGTTACCTTGTAACCATATATTGTATGTAACCATGAATATTTTTCTATTAATTGTTTGAGTATAAACAAGTTATCAGTGCAAGATCTACCAGGCATAAATTCACTTTGGTCTTCGCTAATTAGATGTCCTACATCATCTTATATTTTTTCATTTATTCTCTTTCCAAACAATCTTCCGAAAGTAGGTAGGACACTTAATCCTCTGTAGCAGTTAGGATCTTTTCGATTACCCTATTTAAAGATGGACACTTGGTGAGCCGTTTTCGAATCAGATGGTACTTTAATTTCTCGGCAGCATTGATTCATTAGAAAAGTTATTCGTTCTATTCTATTATTCCTATCTTGCATCTAACAATTTTTTCCTTTTAAGTTCAATCTTTATTGTATTTAAAAAAAAAAGTTTTTAAAATAGAAATTTTTTTTTATATAAAAGAAAAAAAAATTAATTTATTTTATTTTTCTAAATGTGTTCACCAATAACTCATAAAACACCTGATACATCTAGAAATGTTTCTATCAATTTATGGTGCCACTTATTCACAAACAAACACAAAATTAGTAGAACACTACTGTACCAATTCACTAATATTGATATAAAGTCCAGAGGTTTCATAGTTCAAATCTAAGCGTGGCCAAAATAATAAGCAAGTTTAAAAGGTAGTTGGTTAAAATTAAGAAGGGCTCTGCGTATTAAATTAAAATAGACCAGTGGATGGTGATATGAAAGATTTTAAAGAGTTGGGAAACCTAAATATACACATATAAACGCCAAAAAATTACCACATAAGGTAATGCAAGAATTATTTGAATTTTTCAATGTCAGTGTAACTTTTCCTTAGAAACGTCGAAAAGATAATTTAAACAAAAAGTTTCCAATAATTAGTTTCTACTTTGCTTACTTCAAATGTTCTAAAACGTCTAGAATTAAATATCTATTTCTTACCTATCCTACTGACTACAGCATTGAATCCATTATGAGGATCAGCAGTATACTTAACTACTCTAATTGTGCCATCGGGTTCAGCAAGAGAATATTCTCCTTTGACGGAATCGCCCACTCGAACTTCGGATTGTTGTTTTTTGTCACCAGTGTGAGCATCTTCTACTCCATATTTAAATTCGTAGTGTGCTGGTGCCTAAATAGTAAAACTATATTGAGTAGGAAATCAGAAAAAGTAATGTAAATTATTTTTCTACATGTTTGAACTTCTTACATACGAAGAAAAAAACCAAAAATATAGGTACAAAGAAATACATATCCCCAGTTTAATCGGATATCGACTTTGAATATCAATATGCAAAACACCTATTGGCAATAAAATTAAACTTTACATATATATATATATTATATATATATATATATATATAATAATATATATATATATATATATATATTTATCAAATTATTCTCGACCGTACTGTGTTTAATATTATTTGTAGTCTCAGCAATTATTGGTCTATATGAAATAAAACTCTATTTGTTATTTTCTCAATATTTCGTCACGATTTTGTGACTTCTTCAGGAGAAAACTGTAAATTTATTATAATTATTATATGTAAATAAAATGAATATTTCAATACTTACAACTTAAGATTAAAAATTTAAATTTTGAAAACATATCCAAATTAAAAAAATGACATTTTTTTTTTGATTTTAATTTATTTGGGAGTTATGGTAACCGCAATATTTTATAGAGTGAATTCCCATTGTACAATGGGAATTCACTCTATAAAATATTACATAAATCAGTTACAGACCGATTACAGATCGATTAGCCTCCTCAGCCATATATATAAGTTGTTTACGCGAATACTAGTTAAGAGAATGGAAAGAAAATTAGAGACTTATCAACCAAGGGAACAGGCAGGATTCCGAAAAAGTTACGGAACAAATGACCATCTACAAAGTATAAAAACACTAATAGAGAAAGCAGTGGAATACAATAAACCTCTAGTTCTAATATTTATCGATTTTCACAAAGCCTTTGACACAGTTGAGCTAAGAAAAATATTACAGGCGCTTAAAGAATGCAGGCTAGATTATAGATATACTAAATTATTATACAAAATATACCTGCAGGCAACAACCACTGTCAAATTACATACTAACAGTAATCGCATAAAAATAGAACGGGGGGTTAGACAAGGAGACCCATGTCACCTAAACTTTTTAATACGGTGCTAGAACATGCTTTTAAGAATTTGGATTGGATGACAAAGGGAATAAAAATAGATGGAGAAAATCTAAACAACTTACGTTTCGCCGATGATATACTTATAATAGCTGAAGATCTAGGTATGGCAAGAGAGATGGTACAGGAACTCGTTGTGGCTACAGAAAATGTAGGTTTAAATATAAATATCTCGAAAACAAAAATCATGACCAATTTGGTACCCAACCAGAACATCAGTATTGGTGGGAAAGAAAAAGAACTCGTAGATAGATATAAATACCTGGGACATGAAATTATGATTGGCAGAGATAACCAGACTCATGAACTGAAGAGAAGACTCGGCCTTGGGTGGGCAGCATTTGGAAAACTGAGAGAAACTTTTAAAAGTAAGCTGCCCACATGCCTAAAGAGAAAGGTATTTGATCAGTGCGTCCTCCCAGTCTTGACGTACGGAGCAGAAACTCTTACCTTAACAAAAGTAGCAGCTACCAAACTGAGAGTCACGCAGAGAAGAATGGAGCGGTCCATGTTAGGGATAACTCTCCGAGACAGAATAACAAACGAATACATCAGGAGAAGAACCGGAGTGACTGACATCATCGAGAAGATAGCCAGACTAAAATGGAGATGGGCAGGACACGTAGCCAGAATGACAGATGGGCGATGGACAAAGAGGTTATTGGAATGGAGGGCAAGGGAAGACAAGAGAAGCGTCGGTCGACCACCTACAAGATGGACTGACGATTTAGGAAGAATCAATAAAAATTGGATAAGAGCGGCGCAAGATAGACGGGGTTGGAAACATGAGGAAGAGGCCTATGTTCAGCAGCGGACTCTTGAGGCTGGATTATGATGATGACAGAAGTAGACGTAAACACAATATTAGCAGATCTGGAAAATATCATAATTAATGTAGAAGAGGAAAAAAGAGATGAATATACAACGAAAACTACTAACATTATAACCAACTACTTACAAAAGGAAGTAAATAGGAACGACCACATGAGTACAATGTTTAATGAATGCAAACAATTCCTAAAAAAATCATCAGGATTTGTATGTAGTAAGAAGTGACAATGGCAATGTCACAGTAGCTATGTATAAACAGGACTACATTAGTAAAAATGAAATCATGCTTAAAGATACAAAATACTACAAAAATATGAGTAGAGACTTGTAGTCTTCAACAAAAAGCATATAAATTAGTAACAGATCGAAACAAAACATTTAAAATAACGAATATAAAAACAAAAAATTTAAGAATTTACAACTCTATAGCACCTAGATTCTACTCTCTACCAAAAATATATAAACTAACCCTAGTAATGAGACCAATTGTAACATAAATTTGTGATTCTCCAAACAGTAAATTATACAAGTTCTTAACAGAAATATTAACAAATGCATACGACTCAAAGAATGATTACTATATAAAATATTCATCCAGTTTCAGCTTCTTTATCAACAATTTCAAACTTTCCACAAATTATGTGTTGGTAAGTTTTGATGTAGTATCATTGTTCACCAGCTTGTTGTTTCGGCAAATCATAAGAAACAATCAACAATGAACATTTAACAACATAGCTCAATAGATTTTAATTCATTTGTAACAATACTATCCTTCATATTTAACTCAAACATACTGGTCTTAAATGAGGTGAATTACAAACAAATACATGGTACACCCATGCGAAACGAAATATCACCAATCCTATGCCACTTTGTACTGGATGACTTAATTGAAAGCAGTATTAAGAAGTTACTATTTAATGTCCCATTTTTAAAGAGATATATGGATGATTTAATTCTTACACTCCCAAAAGACAAAATAATGGACATACTACACATATTTAACAGTCACTGTCCAGACTTATAGATTTACGGTAGAATTAGAAAACAACAACTGTATACCATTTCTAGATATGATGTTACACCGTGATTCAAACAACGTTCTAAAAACAGATTGGTATAGAAACCAATATGTAGCAACATGTTTATTAAGTTACTTTTCAGCACATCTATCTAAGATGAAGACCAACCTAGTATTAAATATAAAAAGTAGGGTTATAACGTTTTTACATCCTGAATATAAAACAAGCCGGTCTTAAAAAACTAAAAATGATCATGTTAGAGAATTTATTCCCAGCGAACCTTCTAAATAGACTTATTTTTGGTGCCTTAAAAGTCATAACGACAGATCAAACAGTTTCAACAAACAACCAAAATACATTGTACCACTCTTTACCATATATTTCAGGTTTAACAAATAGACTTTTATATACATTTAGAGAAGTACCTAATATCAAAATTGGAACCAGAAATATAAAAACAATATCGAAATTTTACACCAACCTTAAAACACCCTTAAATAATAAAGAAAACTCCAATGTAGTGTACTCTCTACCGTGTAATAATTGCAATAGATTATATATTGGAGAAACGTGAAGAAATTTGTGCGCAAGGTTAACATCGCACGAGAGTGACATTAATCTGAATAAAGTACAAGCCTGTGCATTAAGTGAATATTCTATTACGATGGACCACACGCTTAACTATGATCAAGCAGAAATATTAAGAAGGGAAAGAAATTACAACAAAAGATTGTTTCTAGAATTGTGTTTAAATAAAACTTTCACTATTGATATTGACAGACAGAAAAATCTTAGAGAAAGGAGAAAAAAACTGAGCCAAAACTGAAAAATCGATTTTATGACAAATTGTGTTTATTTTAAAGTACCTACACAAAAAAACTAAATAGTATTGCTAGTGGCTAATATTCAGTTTTCAAGAACATAGCAATTTTCAGACATGAAAAAATAAATAAATGACGAAAACTCAAAAACTACCAATATAGTAAGATTATGTAATAAAAATAAAAAGAGCTGTAAAAGACACAAATAAAGGCTAACTACGGTTATACTGTCTCTTGTTTTGCTGAAATTCGGCAAAATACTCGTCGAGATATTATATAAGAATGTGGATGAAATATTACAAATTCCATTAAAGGGGTATACGAAAAAATTATATTACTTACACTATAGTCAACTACGGTTTCTTTAGCTATAGCTACAGGTTTAGCAATAGCGATTGGAGCAGCAATAGCATGACTAGCTAGAGAAATTCCATGTCCATAATCACTAATTCCATGATCATCTTCAAGGTGAAGTCCTCCGGAGATATACGAAATAGCTCCGCAATGAACGGACGCTATCATACACACAGCAATAAAAATCTGAAATTAAATGGATAACGTATTAAATTTAATCTAAATTAACGATTTTAATTATTGTCTAAAACAGGTTTCCTTTATAAAAAGAAGCGCGTCTTCCAACTAAAAAGAAATTTAATTTGTGATAATTTTATAGAAATAAGTCAACAGTATCAATTTATATGTAAGCAACTAAGATATACAGTGTGTCCGTAAAGAATGGAATAAATTCGATATTTCCTAAATAAAAAGCCTTTTTTAAAATATCTAAAACAGACCGATTTTTAAATTTAATGCTCTACATTTTACAATAAAATTTCATTTTATACAAAGTGAGACATATAAAGGTGATGACGTCATCGGCTCTTTTTTTAAATGTAACACCTTGTATTTCGGAACATTTTTAAATTGATAAAAATAAGCTGATTCCAAAAAAGTATAATACTGGCGGTCTAGGAAAGATATGCGCTTAGAAAATTAATTTTTATTGATTTCTAATATTAAAAATAAATTATAGGTTATAAATAAATTATAATAACTTGAAAGTAATTTAGTAATTAATAAATGACTCTATCTAAATGTTCGAATTGTAGCCTTTGTTTTATTTGAAAGTAATCCAAACGTAGAAATTCTTGTAAAACCTTGTATATGGTTTCTTGAGAAATATTGTTCATTTCTTTACTAATTCTTGTTTTTAAGTCATCAACATTTGCAGGTCTCGTTTTATAAACATTTTTGTCAAATAAACCACATAAAATAATCCAAAGGATTGAGATCTGGTGACCTCGCTGGACATTTAATATATTTACGTCTTCCAATTCACCTGTTCGGAAAAATTTCGTTTAGGTACCTTCGAACATCTACAGCATAATGGAAAGGCGCACCATTCTGTTGAAACCATAAATGTTCATCAAAACTTCCAGGATTAATTCTACTGTGGAATAAATTAACCAAAGTAGGTACGAGATACCCCATTTAAAACTAAAGGTATGCTGGCCCGTTTAAATTACCTTCGAAAAAGTAGGGTCCGATGATTCTATTTCCTACAATGCCAGCCCATACGTTTACCTTTTGCGGGTATTGTGTATGATATTCCAGTATCCAGTTAGGGTTTTCTTTTGCCCAGTATCTACAGTTCTGACGGTTGACCTCGCCATTTAATGTGAATGTAGCCTCACCAAAAAAAAAATTATATTTTTAACCAAAAGAGGTTTTCGGTAGCAGTTATCTATCATTGTTTCGAAAAATTGTATTCTTTTATCTGGATTATTCTCGTTTAATTCCGGTACAAGTGTGCTTCTAAAGGGGTAACATTTTTCAAGTTTTATTACATTGTGTACCATTGTTTTGCAAATAACGAGATCACGACTAAACTTCCGAACAGAAGTGTGCGCATCTTCTTCAAAAGCAAGTAGAACATCTATTGTTGTATCATAATTTACAGAGCTACGACCTGATTTGCGTGCATTTTCAACCGTACCAATTTCTCAAAATCTCTTTTCAATCTTACTTACTGTTGTCTGCATTATAGGTCTTTTCGGATATTTATTATTTAAATTACAGACTTCCATCTGAGTTCGCGATTTGTCTCCATACCCATTCATCATGAGTTTTTGAATTCTTTGCATTTTCTCAGAAAAAGCTAGAATATAGAAAAATCATTTTCACTTCAAAATAATTCCAAGATATAATACAGAACATTCACGAATTAAACAATTAATTGTACTACTTAATTGGTATTGAACGCTACTAAAAATAATTACATTTTACTAAAAACTAGTAGTAGGCTACTTTTTTGCAATTAATAATAAATAATTTATTTTCTAAGCGCATATTTTTCAAATTATATCCATAAGAATATCCCGAGTATTATACTTTTTTGGAATCAGCTCATTTTTATCGATCTTAAAATGTCAAAAAATTTAGGGTGTTACATTAAAAAAAGATACGATGACCACCTTAATATGTATCACCTTTTATAATGAAATTTTATTTGGAGAATGTAGAACATTAAACTTAAAAATCGACGTGTTTTAGATTTTGTTAAAAAGGCTTTTCATTTAGGAAATATCGAATTTGTTTGATACTTTACGGACACTACTTTCTTTACTGTAGAATAAGTCAGTGTAAAACTACAAGTATCTATGAATAAATACTAATCAATCAAAAACACACGTGAAGTTAGAATAAGGATAGAAAATGTTTGAAGTGAATTTAACGACATAAAACAAATCCTGTTTAATCGACACAATGTTTGTTACATTACATTAAAACTGAAATAATTGTTTGCTGTGTAGCATTTGCAATTCATTGATTTTTTTAGTGTATATTGAAATCCCCTCGTATATGAAATATATTGAAATTCCCCCATAAATGTTTGAAAAGTCGCAGAATATTTTTTATTCTATTTTAGTTTCCTATTTGTACGTATTAAAACACCGAATTCTTTTAATTTAAAACCCAAATAATATTTCGTTCTTTTCAGCGTCGCCAAGTAATAAAACCATTTGAGAGTTTTTTATTATTTTGAAGATGTGTAAGTGCTTTCTCGGCGTTTTCTTTTAATGTTTTCTTCGAAGTCGCCTTATAATTTGCGTCATAGAAATAGGATATCTACGTTTTAATTTCGGTTGTTTTGTTTGTTTTCAAGTTATGTGAATTCTTAATTTCGCCATTCATTCTTAGGTCGCAGCAGTTCGCTGTGTGGATCACAAGTATGGATCCGCAAATTCGTCCGTCGAATTTGTGTTTTTCCTGTTTTTGGCCCCTTTTTCTAAAAGTATGAAGCAGTGAAAGTGAATTGTATAGTATACCAGTACCATGATGAAATTTCGAAGCTGTATATAGGATGTCCCACAGCTTTGTTGTCGTTTTCCTATTTGATCCAGCCCATCTAAGTCAAATCATCGTTCCAAATTATGGAGATGGTCTTTTTTTGTTCCTGAGTATGGAAATGGTTCCCCTTGTTCAAGAGTTTCGTCCTTGCAGCTCCAGTCTCAGAGATGTAGCAAGTTTTGGAGTTATGTGCGTGTTTATGAGTGAAATTAAGGTAACTTTTATTGTTTGTTTAATTTTCAAAGTAACATTTTTTTGCTAAATTAATAATTGCTTTCATTGTTTTAGAGGATAATTTTTATTTGTAATAATTTTTATATTTGCCATAGTTTATACGTCAGTAACATAGTAATTTTTTGTAGCATCTCTTGAATTTGTAAATTAGTAAAACGCATGTAAGTTTTTTGTATTTTGCGACTATCGTGGTAATATTTTTGTATTTTTTTTTAATATTCTTGGTTCTCTACGTTTTGTTACTGTTTGTGGTATGACACAAAAATAAATGTTAAAGTTTGTTTTCTTAACATTTTGTTTATTTTTTAAACTAACCCTTTTTTGAGTTTTATTTGAAAAATTTATGTTTTTGATGTTTTATAATTATTTCCCTAGTTACAACTAGTGGTTGTAATAGGTATAATTAGGCACCTCAAGTGGCGCCCTATATTAAATTCCTTGAGGTGTTTCTGTTTATTTTTATTTTGTTTATCCCAAGAGATTAAGTACATCTTTATATCTTTTTTTTTGTAGTTGCCCCAATCCAACCCTCTTATCTTTTCCTTATCCACGACCCCTCTCCTACCAAACCCTGAGTGCCGTTCGCACAAGTAGCGATTATTTTGCTTGTCTTATCTCCACCCCCTTAGTTTCAGTCCCCAATTATATACCCCATAATCTTACCCCGTGTGGCAGGCAAAATATTTTCGTTACAGCTGAATTAAATGACAGAAACCACCAATTTCTTCAAAATTAAAAAAAAACACTGCTCATGTCCTCAAATGTAACCCCCTACTTCCCTGCATCAACTACTAGAGATTGTTTTAAATAGCAAGTGTCACGCGACACTCTTTTTTTTTAATTTTTGGAATAACTTTAAAGATAATTTTGGACTTAACAATTTTTTTTTGGTTAAACACAATAATAATAAAAAGCATGCAATCAGTCAAAAAACAGAAACAAATAACATAGCCAATAAAATGTTAAAACATGGGGAGTCGCATTGGTAGAGGACATCACAAATGATCTTTGAACATCATAGAATCTCAAATATAAGGAGAGTCAATATAGCGATTATCTAGCAGATTCTTCCCAATTATACACACATAAATCTTTTAAACATAATTGTAAAGTTAATCAGTAAAGTGGTAACCAACAAAATAAATACTTTTGTAATATTGGTAGATGAATTACAGATTTGATCTAGATGATCATGTACTGATGCTAACTAAATTTTTTATGCGATAAATATTTTTATGCGAGAAAAATCTACCTACCGAATATAAGAGATTTGCATTGCTGTGTATCGTAGACTTACTGAAAGTCTTTCATATTATAGTTAAGAGGCCTTTAGTACTAGTACAAAGATTTTAAAGAAATTTTAACAAATTCAAGCAGATAAAAATTACGTGCTAAAGGGGATTACACACCAAAGATCCACTTAAACTAAAGTTGAACCATAGATCAATGGATATAAAGGGAATATAAAATATAAAAAACTGGATGATTTTTTTGTACTTTGTCATACTCTTTGACGTGACATGTAAATAAAAAAAACTAAGTTAAGAATAACCAAGAGCAATAGATCTGCTAGAGTTATGAGCAAAATTATCATGGCAAAAGAAATATTGTGTAACACAAAACTAAAAGATATAACAAGAACGATTATTAGAACAAAAATATTACACAAAGCCAAGGCGTGGGGTATGGACAAAATCATCTTTAACCGCAAGTAGGCTACTGCTGCAAACACATTTAGAATATGTAGCCATTTATCTAGAAGAGACCACAAAAATAAATATTTGTTTTATTTACTTACCCCCAGGGCAACAAATATAACAGTATTTGGGGTTCTATATACAATGACAAAAGAGGACTTATTATTGGATTATTGAAGAGAGAATTTTTCGACTGCTCTAACAACCATTCAAATTTCGTCATTTTGTGTCATGTGGAACAATTTCACCCAATCAGGTCAACATTAGACTGATAATTGCATTCAGTGCAATTTTCAATTCCTATGACACGATCGAGTTTGACAACTTCATCCAAATAAATTTCAAAATGTCACATTTCTATAAAACCATACTTGAATCTCGATCAATAACACCACAACAAGATTATAATTATTATGCGTGGTAATAGATCTTCGATAGTAGAGAACAGCAATGAATCAAATGTTAACTTAAATTTTATTAATTGTACTTTCACTAACTGTACTTTTAATAAATAAATGTTTCGTTATGTTGAGTTATGATTTTTTTTTTCGAAAAATTATCCGCCGAATATCCCTCGGACATTGATGAATGCCTCATAATTTCATGACAAATTTCTCAAGCTCGTTGCTTGGTAACAGCACTCAGCCTTCGGCTTCGTGCTGTTACCAAGGAACGAGCTTTCGATTGTCATGAAATTATCTCGTCTGTTATCAATGTCCTAGGGATATTACTACTAATAATAGATTTGTATAATTTATCATGTACTCAGTGTCAATGTACTCAGCCTTCGGCTTCGTGCTGTTACCAAGGAACGAGCTTTCGATTGTCATGAAATTATCTCGTCTGTTATCAATGTCCTAGGGATATTACTACTAATAATAGATTTGTATAATTTATCATTAGTGAATCATAAACGCCCTACAAGATTCAATATACAAAGAAGCGAATCAATAATATTAACGATAGCGGATAATAACTTCTATGCAATAATGATATGGGACAGGTTAGACTACACTTTTAACAAAGATCATCAGAATACACAAGATCAAAAATGAAAAATACACCGGCAAGTGGAAAACCAATGAAGCAAATTGGACACTCTTTGAAAATATTATTGAACAACATGTCAAACACTGTAAAATATCCAAAAATGTTAATACACACATAGAAGCTTCCGAGAAAGCCTTTACAAATACAAAAGATATAAAACACTTATATAATAAAATAATATTTTAAAAACTTAAGCACAGTTAACAATAAAAACTTCAAAAAAAATTCGTGGTCGCAATTTGTATCCAGTATCAACAACAGGACCCCTATATCTGAAATGTGGAAGATCAAAAAAATATCTGGAATACCAGCTTTTAACAAAATTACTCGACTAAGGAAAGATAACAGAGTAATCACAGATGACTAGAAATAGCAGAAGAATTGGCAAATACGTATAAAAATAGATCTAATACAAGTAATTACAACAATAATTTTATCAATTTTAAACAGAACGAAGAACGCAATGTAATTATACCCTTTGTAGATAATACAGATGCTTTAAACTGTGTGATCCTAGTGAGGGTCCAGATAATATTCTAATGATCTTTCTTAAACATTTACCTGAGAATGCACCTAATCGTCTACTTAATATATTTAATATTATTTGTACAGAACACAAATTTCCAACAGCGTGGAGAGAATATATTTTGATACCAATATTTATTTTAATACCAATATTAAACATTAAAAAAAAAAAGAATTTAACAATATAATAAAAACTATTGAAGAACAACTAGAAGACCCAGAAGAACTATGGAGTGAATTTAAAAACCAAGTTAACGAAATTTCCACAAACAATCATTATGGCAAAAACTTAATCAAGAAAAATAAATAGATGACAGACGAAATCTTGAAATTATTAGAACAATGTCGACTGATAAAATCTGACAGGAATATTGCCGTATTTTACCAAAACCGTACTGACGGCACAGAAATTATGACATGCGAGGTAGAACACGCTATAAATAATGCTAAAATTAGAAAAGCTTGTGGTCCAGATGATACACCAACTGAGTTGCTGAAACTAATATAAGATGATAACATAAAAGTAGTGGTAAGACTTTTGAATTCAATATATAACACCGAAGTGATTCCCATAGATTGGTTCAAATACATTTTTGTCGCAATACCTAAAAAACACAATGCAAGAAAATGCTCAGAATATCCACATATTAGCCTAATGAGCCACACTCTTAATATTTTCCTAAGAATACTTCACAACAGAATTAGACGCAAATGCGAACAAAATCTGGAAGATACTTAATTTGGTTTTAGAAATGCTATGGGAACAAGGAAGGTGACAAAAGACAAGATGTATTTGCAAGTTTCGTGGACTTCGAAAAGGCATTAGATAAAGTACAACATGTAAAATTAATGGAAATACTAAAAAATATCGAAATAGATAACAAGGATATTCGTGTCATTAAAAATTTGTACTGGAGTCAAACTTCTATCGTAAAAATTAGAGATAACTGCACCGATGAAATCTTCATGCAACGAGGAGTCAGACAAGGTTGCATTTTGTCGCCAACATTGTTCAATGTTTACTCAGACCAGTTATTTAAGAAGACACTTGAGAGACAACCCTATAGAATAAAAATCAACGGGTAACTATTTAATGTGATTAGATATGAAGACGATGCAATTCGATGCAGATAATATTGAAGGTCTCCAAATTCTGCTTGATCACATTGACGAGGAAGGAGAGGAAATGGACATTAAAATAAATTCAAACAAAACCAAATTTTAGTGTTTAGTCATGACCCATATCCCAAGTCAACAGAGTTCAAGTTAAGAAAGTACACAAAATGACATATTTGGGAACTATTATAACGGACCAACTGGATCCAGACATAGAAATAAAACATAGAATAGCAATGACTAAAAATACTTTTATGAAAATGAAGTCATTTCTTTGCAGTAATTATTTCAGTTTAGAACTAAGACCAAAAATGGTTAAGTGCTATGTTTGGTCCGTACTTTTGTAGAGTGCAAAAGTGTAGACGTTAAAAGTATCGATCATAAACAAAATTAAAACCTTGGAAATATAAGTTCATAGACGAATGCTGAAGATACCTTGAACAGCAAGGAAAACGACTGAAGAAGTACTAAGGAGAGTCAACAAAGATAGAGAACTGCGAAAGACTGTTAAACATCGAAAAATGTCTTATCTGGGATATATAGTAGGGGAAAGTCGATATAAAATAGTACAACTGATCCGTAAAGGCAAAATAGAGGGCCGTAGAGGTGTAGGAAGAAAACGGGTTTTTTGTTTGAGGAACATTCGTGAATGGACTCGGATATCAAATGCGGGACAATTATTCTATATTGCAGAAGATAGAGAAGCCTTCGCAATGGTGTTTGCCAACGTCGGATAATTCTGATATAGCATCGAAGAAGAGGAAGAAGATTTAAACAAAAATACTCCAAAACAGATCTTGAGTGGTTCAGACCAATTGCACTGCATACAACATTTACTGCATGCAAACTATTAGAAAAACGGTCCACCGTCGTCTTCTTTGGACACTTGAAGATTGAGGTGTTATTATTCCAAAACAAAGTGGTTTCTGACACAAAAGATCAATTCCAAACAATATTATAAACCTAGAAAGCAGTGTACATAAAGCCCTCTACCTTAATCACAAATGTATTGCAATATTCTTCGATATTGAAAGAGCCTTTGATAGAGACTAGCACCACCTTATTACCAGATTACTATAAGATTTAGAAATTAAACGACATTGCCTTGCATTTATGAAAAACTTCTTACATAAATGGTATATGTAAGTTCGAGCAAATTGTAACTTGTCGTCAAAAGTGGAATTAGAAAATGGGTCCCTCAGGGATCTGTTATAAGCTCTACGGTTGTTATAATTGCTTTACGAAATGCAATGATATTTTACGAAATCTAAAACTTCCACTTAAAGGCTAATTATATGCTGACGAACTCTTAATATTTGGCCAAAGCCAAAACTTAACAAACCTCTCACAAAAATGCATATAATTTCTTGTTAGATATTGAAAAATGGTAATAAAACACACAATGAATTTAAATAATTTGGGAATAGAGATATTCATCTTAAGCGATACATATAAAAGAGATCAATACACATCTGGATATAGACGTAGAAAACTAGTGTACAATACTGCGATACGTTTAATTATGACGTCCAATTCAGTTATACTATAAGACTTGATATGCGTAGAGCAAACTGAATAACAGAAATATAAGAGATCCAAATACTATGATGAATAATCGGCAAAACATGACATAAAGGAAAAAATAAAAATATGAAAATATTGGCGAAAATTGCAAGCACGTTTCATACAAAAACTAAAAAACGAAGAATCATTAAGAGACGGAAAGGACTATGGTGTGACTGTTCGGAAGATACCGAAGATCGAACAAGTACTTTGCCCAGATTTCTAGAAGAATGAAAAAGAACATTATCAGTATTATGTGCCGAAAGTGATACTACAGTACTGTGAAAGGAAAAACTGTAGCTTCGATGGTTAAACATTTGTTTTCAGGTGTAAACGGTTTTCTTTGGTTTTCTATAATTGATAGTTTTTTCAGTTGTTTTTAGACTTATCCACTTAATTTAATAAATATTAAATTACAAAAGATACAACTGTATGATATTCAAGTACTTTAAAGTTTTTCTATTCTTTTATTAGGGTTTTATTATGTAATAGCAAGCTACAACATAAAACAATATTAAAAACTTGCAGTAAATTATTAATCCATAGATAAAAAACGAATAAAATATTGATGAATTAGAATTGCTGCAACTAAATAAGACAAAAAAATTTAAGTAACGTTAACGACATTATATCATAACCTACACAAAACGTTAATAAAAATATTTTTCTTACTTTGGCGAACATATTGCGGCTAAATCCAATGTTATTTGTCACAAAATAATTGCACCGACTGATGAATGCCGTGTTAGTTAGTCTTTATATACGAAATGAATTTAGCGTGGTACTTCAAACACGTTCATTGAAATTGCTGAAAAAACCGAGTTCCAAGTTACCTTGTTAATTGATCAAAATATTTGCAATTTGAAAGTGCAATACCTGCATATGTGTACAGAATTGGATTTAATATCATCTTTTTTAATTCGTACGTATACAGCCATCAAGAAAAAACCTAATTAGAGCAAGTTGGGAAATTTATATATCCTTGGAAGTGTTATTTGATACACTTCGGCACTTACAAATTTATTATTTGACATTATCATTGTTCGTTTATAATATTAAAATATTCCTAAAAAGACAAAAATAATTTATCTTATATTTAAGCCATAATCATACTTTACAGCGCTTTCTAGATTAAGTTTTATTAGGCAGTTTTTCTGGGATACATGAAGCCGTCTTATATGGAACTTTTGGTTTTTGAGTATTCTTTCGGTAGTGTTTCATTTTTATCCTGTAAACCTGTTGGTTCTATTTAACCCTTCAGCGGTGACGTGCAGTCCAGAGTTTCGACTATGAAGTGAATCATCTTTTACTGCACCGAATTACAACAAAGCGCTTTATGCATGTAACTAAATGTAGTAACGATTATTTTGCTTACCACAGAGGGTATAACTATGGGGGTTGAAAATTGGGGACAAAAACTACGGGGTTAAATATAGGGTAAGCAAAACAAACTGAAACATCTGCGAATGGCTACTCAGGGTTTATTTGGAAAACTGGGTCGCGGATAAGTGCATGATAATGGGACTGGATTCGGGTAACTAGTAAAATTGAAACAAAGGGATACTTACATGAGTCTCCTGGACAAACAATACACAAGAAGGTTCTCAAGCTATTTAAAATAAGGACGCCTCTGTGAAGAATCTTCCTGCTGGATGAAAGACAAGGCTCTTTCATCCTAATAAATATAAAAAGGGTAAGAAATTTTTTTAAAAGAAAAAAACAAAATAGTTTAAAGAAAAAAGTTACACATTCATTGTTGTCTCACTACAAACAGTTACCAATATAAATAATAACAATAAAATACAAAATATCAAAAACAAACTTACTATGTTCTATCAGTTTACAAACTTTTGAACTTTGAGATACTACAAAACTTTGGTTAATAACAATTGTTAATGGGCGACAATTTGTAACGGAAAAAATTAGAAATGAAAAATAGCATTTTAAATAGTTTTTAACTAATTTAAAAAAACAAGAACAAAATTTTAATTTATGATTAGGTTTTATCAACTGTAAAAAAATAGTGATAAACTGTCATATGTCAATACTTAATCTTAAAACTGAGAACAATTAATATCACAACTAAGCCACACCCTATTCTCTACAATTTTAATTATTACAATTTCTTAACCTGCATGAAAGCAATTATTAATGAAAAATGTCTATTTTTACTTTAAAATATTCAAACAAAAAAAGTCACCTGCGTTTCACTAAATGTAATTTTTACTTTAATTTTCTAAGGTTGGAACTGGACTTCACTGAAGATTTACCACCACGAAAAAAACTGCATCTAATCGCAAATGAGGATGGAAGCTGTTCACTGGTACGCAAATTTTAGACGTGGCTTCTTAAAAAACTGGAACACGTGAAGTTATCCATCAAAATTGTAATAAACGTCGTTTTACAAATATCTCAGATGATAGACTGCAAAAAAATAAACAGTGATTCCTCTTGCAGAACTGAGCACAAGGTGTCGTCTGCTCCCCCTGAGCTCTCCTTCAAACCTTCTTTAATTACACTTAATGCACAATTAACTGCCACAATACAATATTTCCAGAACATAAGACGAAAAAACGAAAAAAGATTACAATTTGACGAAAAATTTGGACTAACCTGAAATAAACTGCCTTTGACAGTGGCTCCAGCGAGAGTGATATCTAATCTTAGTAACTAATATCTAATCTTAGTAACTGCATCCAAATGCACATTATTAAGAACATATTATATATATTATATTATTTATACGACCAAATGAAATACAAGAACATTTAGTTGGATTTAAGCTTAAACCATTTTGTTTCGACCATCAAAATATATTACATACATCATCTTGCAAGAGAACTTTATCCAATTTTTCATCTATACAACGAATTAGCTTAATATCATCAGCAAATAGCAAAAACTGTGAGTTTTTGATATCCTTATCGATATCGTTAATGAACAAGTTAAAACAACAAGGGACCACAGTGAGACCCTTCAGAAAACTTTTAATCCAATTAACAATGGAATCACCAAAGCCAGATGCATAAAGTTTGTAAACCAAAAGGTTATGATTAACCCTGTCAAAGGCTTGTAAGAAATCAATAAAAATGGTGTTGATCTCAATTTTATTCTCAAATGCACCCAACAAGTATTATTGGTAATTGACAAGGTACCTTACTGTTGCTTTGAAAACGTGAATGAAAATCCATGTTGTTGATCAATAACAGTTTTTATGCAAGCCCAGGTGATATTTATCGATACCAATTTATCAAGAAGTTTTATGATTGTTGATTGAATAGTTATACCTTTATAAATATTAACACACTCACGATTGCCAGATTTATAGATAGGTGTGAGAAAACTATTTTTCCAATATTGTGAAAATACAGATGATTACAATGATAAATTGAAAATTTTTTGTAAAGGTTTACAAAGGAAAAAAATACAGTTCATAATAAGTGCTACACATATACCATCAGGCCATGAAGAATATGTAGTTTTTAAACTAGTATTTTGCTCGAAAATATCAGTCAGACTAAATTCTGAATCAGAATCTGAAAGTCCACACTAAAGTTCAATTTTAAATTAGGTAAATTATACTTACTATCATTATATGTACCTGAAAAATAAGTGGCAAATAGATTGACTAGTTCTTTACTATCCTAAGCTATTACATCGCCTCTTTTATTAGAAATTGCATTAGAATAAACACTAGACCCACATATAGCACTAACGGGCCTCCAAAAATATGCGAATGATGCAATATTCACGGCAGAAAATAAAGATAATCTCCAGCACCTTCTTTATAGATTTAACATAACAGCACATAGGTTAAACATCTTAATATCCCGCGAAAAGATCCAGTCAACGGTTATAAAAAAGTGCCATATTAGATGTAAACTAATGATTATCGAATATATAATAGAACATCAATTTTAATTACCTTGTAATATATCTATCGTATAATAGATATACTGCAGCGGAAGTGAAAAAACAGGTTTGTTAGTCAGCCGAAATATCGGGATACTTGAGGGATATCATATGAAGGAATAAATGTATAAGCGTATTCTTCTTATTCTTCTGAGTAACTCGCATGTTTGGTTATCTCGCGTTAACCTTATTTCGTGACCCAAATACACATATTTTTTCACAAGTTCTATGGCCGACTTTTCGATTTCTATTAACTCATTGGGGACGAGATTGGTCATCATTTTTGTTTTTCCATAGTTTATTTTCAAACCGACTTTCTGGGTTACTTGCTGTAGTTGCTATAGCATAACTCTGGCTTCTCCTAAGTTGTCTGTTATGAGAACAATATCATCGGTATATCTGAGATGATTGAATATCTTTCCATCGATGCTAATACCCTTTGATCCCACTCTAGCTGTTTAAATGTATACTCTATAACTGTTATAAATAGTTTTGGCGACAAGGTATCTCCCTGCCGCACCCCTCTGCCAATTTTTATCTTCTCAGTCATGCAATGGAGGTTAACGGTTGTTGTCGCATTTTCGTATATATTTCGAATAATATTTGCATACCTGTGATCTATTCTGCATTCTGATAGTGCTTTTAAGATAGCAACTGTTTCGACTGTGTCAAATGCTTTGTGGAAGTCAACAAAGATAAGAGCAAGAGGTCTGTTATATTCGATAGACTTTTCAACTAGAGTTTTAAGGCATTGCAAATGGTCGTTCGCTCGAAATCCTACCTGTTCTTCTAATTGATAGAAATCGAGTTTTGCTTCTAATCTGTTTGTCAGTATTCGAGTAAAGATCTTGTATAGGTGGTTAAGCAAACTAATTGGCGTGTAGTTTTCGAGATCTGATTTATACCATTTTTTGTAGAGAAGGATTTTAACCGAATTCTTCCATTTACTTGGAATGTTTTCACTATGCAGACATAGATTAAAAAGTGTTTGGATTCAGGACATCAAAAGTGGACCTCCTAGTTTAATTGTCTTAATGACTACACCATCTTCCACCGGAGCTCTATTATTTTTCATATTTTTAAGGGCATGTTGAATTTCCTCTCGTGATATATCTGGTATATCCTCCGATCCTACATTATTTATCTTTTGTATTGGTTGTTCGATGAGCTCTGGAATAACTTGACTTTTATATAATGTTTCATAGAAACTTTCCATTATATGTAATAAGCTTGGTCTATCTGAGATAATATTTCCATTTTTGTCTTTAAGTTGGAAGATTTCTTTTTTGCCATTTTCCATTTTTCTCCTCAATGCTTTCATGCTTTTGTTGTCTTCTGTAGTTTTTTTAATTTTCTCGTTGTTGTATTTTCTAATATCCCGTCTGATGGCTTTAGAAGTGTCTTTATTGATGCTGTTTATATCTTGTGACTCAACATTTCCTTGACTTCTCAGCATTTTACGATCTTCCATTTTTTGTTTCGTTTCTTTACTAATTTTTTTTGTTCTTTTCCATTTTTAGGGCCAAATTTTTCCTGAGCTTGTGTTAATGTATCTACTATTTCTTCGTTTAGGTTATTTACGTCTTCTCTTGTTGTATTTCTGAGTAAGTTACTAATGATATATTTTTCAAAGTCAAGTTCATTCGTTGGGCGCATCCAAGGTTTGAATTTTTTACTTTTTATCATCTTCAGTCTTTCTTGCTTAATATTGATTTCTACAGTTGCTCGGACTATTCTATGATCGCTTGCAACCAAAAATTGATTTAAGACTCACAGATGATACGTTTAGAGAAACTGCAGTT